AAAAATCGGTAATCCGGAATGACGAGCAAGGGATGTTGTTCATTGACATGCAGAGCTTGCGCCCTAATCGCAAAGGGCTTGTTCGAATAGCGTAAGGATGTCGACTTCTTTTTTATATCCAATACACGTGGGTTGTACCTTTGATCCTTGTCTTGTCTGTCAGTCGGAAATATTTTAATTTTCATAGGGATTGGATGAAAGAAAAAGAAAATTATTTTCCACCATATTGCAAAATAGTGGTTAAATTTATTTCAAAGTATCGTCTCCGAGGTGTTTGTCAAAGCGCGTGTCGGGAGGCTTTTGAAATAAAAGTTTATGCACCGATTATTACATCACAATGGGATATTTATTTCAACGATGATCGGTTTCTATTTTCACTCGAGGCTGCTCTTTGGTCTTGGGACTGAAAAACCCTGTGATACATTTTTTTTTTTTTTTTTTTTTTTCAAACTTTCTGCAACCAGAGTCGATGCGATTGTTTTCTAAATTATTTCAAGGTGACAAACGGATACAGTGAAATGAATGTTTTCATCAGAAAAATCGGTATGTAAAATCTGACCAAACAGCCTAAATTTTGTGTACGCGCAAGCATAACTCCTCTAGACTCGGAGTCAACTGCGTCGTCATGTGTTACACGTGTATAAATATAAGCGCATATATGCAAACATTGCGTAACTTCTACATAATTTCATTCCCAAGAAATATTTGTCCGCTCGCGTCTTTCAAGAGGAATCGGTACAAGATGTGAAAAATAATAGTGAAAAAAAAGAAAAAGAAGCTCTTGTCCGTACAAAGCTACGAGTACCAGCGTGACATTTATTCTCGAGGAAAGTGTAAAATACGAAAATAGCCGGGAGGAGAAAAGAAAAGAGCAAACCACTCAGGAAGCATCAAAGAGTCGTCGCGGACGGCTCTAGCGTCTCTTCCCTGTGTATATAATGCGCTCTCGCGTACACGAGACACGTACACATGTACTTACGAAAATATCCGCGAGACGACAGCGGATTCGCGAACCACGTTTCCAACGAATTTTCTCAAGTGCGCCACTTGGCTTTGCTTCTGTTGATCCAATGAATTCCATACCGTTGCGATTTATTTCGATAAGAGCGTAATACGTGTACGATCGACTCCCCATTGTTGGTCTCGAGTTGAAGAATTCACGTGCCTATAAACGATTTCGGTACGAGCACGTACGAGGTAATGTTGCACAACGCGCAGTGCATGATCCCCTACGCCGTACGATACGAGGTGGCCAAGAGGTGCATGACATTGGTAATGTGCTGTGCCAAGGCTTCTCGGAAAAAAAGTGTCGAAAGTCACTTTACGACGTGCTCTCGTGTGTGCCTCGGGAACGCTACGTATCGCCAAACGGCGCTGCAGTTTGTTCTTCCTTTTTCATTCAACGCTGCCACTGTGGGTGCAAAATATAGATGCAGGCGAACATTGCTTAGGTCTTTTTTTCCTACTCAGGTGGCAAAAACGGCTTTAGCAATTTATTTAAAAAAAAAGGATATCCATTGTTTCAGTACGCTTCTTTTTTCTTTTGTATTTAGTCCACAGAGCAGAGTTGAGAACTGCCTTTTCATGGTACATAATAAGATGCACAATGTAATCGATCTTTTCTCGATGGGCAAATAATCGGTTGACTTGGTAAGTACTCAAGATATCGGTGTAAAGATATAAAAGTAGCAAGTTAAGGTAAATTTGTCAAAAATTTTCCAACATTTTCCAAAAGGCATCGGAGAAAACCATGTTTTGGACAGTGAGAAGATAACGTGTCTCATCCGAGGAATAATAATGCCCCAATCACGGAATAAGCCGATTCTTGCAGTGATAGCTTGTACCTATACTTCTATTTGTTGTTTCCACAAAACTATGACCATCACTGATGAATACCATGTTGTTGATCAAACCTCCGCACCCACCAAGGGAACTCATTTTCTTGACAAGTATAAATAATACACTCCCACTTGCATTAAAAGCAATACCGAAAAAAACAAAAAAATAACAAGAGAAAAACAAAAAAACCTCTTGGTATTCAGAAATCTCAACTTCAGTGGTACGAGAAAATCTCTCTCAACAGCACACAAATTATACAAACTGCGCCAATCGTTGCGAGGGTCTATGAAACAAATCACCCCTCGAATAAACACGACATTGAATCTACTGGGATACATTGAAAAGAGTCGGATGAATCATCCATTAATAGACTTTTATCAAAGACATCCGAGTCAGAAATAAAGTCCTCACGGTGCCAGTGACAGATACATCCAAAGGAAGAAAAAAAGAAGAAAAAAAACACGTGCACTAGTGTATGTACTCACTTTTATTGCTCGCGTATCGAGTGAGCAATCGATTTTCCAGTGCCCGAGGAAAAATGTATTACAAGTGCCGCGGGCGTGTACGTACACGCACATTTGGAAGTGAAAAAGAAAGAGACCGAGAGCTACTTAGAGATCGTTTCGACCATCAATCTTGCGCTCCCCTCTGAGCGCTGACAGTAGGAGGAGTAATAATAAAAAAAAAAAAAAAAAAAAAAAAAAGATAAAATCAATCCGTTCGGAGAGCATAGAGAGGACATTTTTCTGTGACTCTTGGCGCTCGGGTGATTTTTCTCGCTGGTGATACTCGTACGTTAAGTATACGAAGAGGCTCGTCTTTGACAGAGTCGCTTGGAGATTCTCGAAGGTGTTAATAATAATAGATCGTCGTTCATTTGTGTTTGGATATACATTTTTTTTTTTTTACTTCTGTTCGTATTTGAAGGTTCGAGATTTTTCTTTTTCTTCGGCCATAAAATAGTCATGGTTAATACATGATCGAAGATCATATAGAACGTAACGGCTCTAGTCGTATAAAAAAAAAGTGATGTGACGATAAAATCTAAATATCAGTACATAAATCCCCCGATGAACGGAGATAACCATAAAACGTTGAAACATGCTGCAAAGAGATGATTTCATATTAATCGCTTGCAATAAAACTTAATTAATTAATTACTCTGAGAGTGTTGACCAAAGTTGCACGTTAAAAATCTTAAAATGTATTTGTTCTGTTGCTTGTAAATCACAAAGGATAACCCCCTGCTCACAACATCCTAACATGTAATTAAATCCAACCAAAACCTCATTTTCACGAAACGAATTAAAATAGTAACGCAGTTGCGGAACCTCACGTTTTTCCCTTGCGAATCCCCAACAAAAAATTCCGCACATGCACAAAGTTCCGAAATTTTTCCGCTCGCGCGGTCGCCAAACCGCAGGACGAAGAAAGTTCCTCCTATAGACAGCCGCTGTGCAACTTGTATCGGATATTACACTTTCGGCGAAGTTTAAGTGGATTAAAAACTTTGGCCCGCCTTGTGACCCTGACACTTGCTCCTCCCTCCATGTTGTTAATTTATTAACATTATTTCCCAACGATTACTTAACACATTTACGCGCTGTATAATCGTTTAAGCACCGACTTTGGGGCGAATACACAAAATTAACCAAATGCTCTCGGGTTGACAAGTCCAAGGAGGCCGCATTGCCATCCAATTAAAAAGTTTAGACTTGGCCCCCCCACAACTTCAGCCATCGGACATTGTATATTCTTGCGAGGCAAATTGCACAGTCCAAGGGGGCTGTTGAAACATCTGCCCTGGAAAATGTAATTGCCAAAGTTAGTTTCCTTGAAACAAAAACACGTTCACTTGATGTTGGAATGAATTTTCCAAAATCGAGAGCATCGCTAGAAACCAATGGAAAAAAAAAAAAATTACTCATACACGGAGCCGAAGCGGATCACGCGCGCGACCCAAAAAAGCTCTCCCTCATTAAAGAGGAGCCATCTGTTTTCAGATTTTACGATGGCGATAAATAATCGCGCTCCACCTTGCGTAAGGTCAGCACCTCCCTCTTCCGCGTCCCTATACTGTACACGATACGCGTTCGTTAGGCCGGAAGCGTCGAAATCCGCGTAAAAGCTCGAAAGCCTCTGAAAATACGAGCGAGCGATCGTTGATTCCGAAAACGGAACGGAAAATTCAACCGATGTGTCATCCCTCCCCCGGAGCTTTCCGACATTCCAGAAACGCGTCGCCCGATTATGTTGTCGAGACGAGGGTTTTAACATCGGGTTGACTGCGCGTAAGTGGAGGAGAAAAAAATAAACGATCTCGAATCAGCGAGAGGGAAAAGCTCACCTTGACCCGCTTGTCGAGTCGAGGAGGAAAAAAAAAAAAAGATAGTGGGGGGTCACCGACGCTTTTTCGTCACTCCTCAACTCGAGTTTCGATATACCTACACGAATAATCGAGTGCACATGTGCTTTTTATATACACCTGCGAGCAGAGAAGGATCGGCCGATTTTCCAAAGTTGGCCAGTTCGCTTGTAATTTCTCGCGATCCGCATCTATAGCTGGAGAAGCTGGAAAATAAATTTCCTGCGATGATACGACCGTGCTGCGGTGGGGGCTGATGATTTCTTCGAGCTATTTGGATCGATTGGCCTTGAGAGAGATGTTTTTTTTTTTTTTTTTTTTTCTTTCTTTTTTTTTATTACTCTTGTTCGTCTTTGAGAGTCGTCTGTCGGTTTTATGTACTACGAAGATGGGAAAATCCCCTGTGTCGCGCCCGATGTTGTGGTAACTCCTGGATTAGGAATATCGTCAGCCTCGCTATCTATATTTTCAAAGGCATTTTCATGCATACGACTTTTATGGCCCGAACAAATTATAGAGTTCCACTGACTCTGTCGGTAAACACTTTTTTTTTCTTTAGTGCAGAAATATTCAACGAGCAAGACAAATAGTTTACTAGTTAAAGCAAACTTTTGCTCAACGTGACAGTGACTGTTTGGTCACTTTAGGGGGAAAAATGTATATGATTTCCGTACAAAAAGACACGTGAAAATATCGTATATTATTATATGAATATTTTTTTAATTTTCTATGAGCATGATACTAATGAAAAAAAAAAAAAAAAAACTGTTACAGCGCCATCGAGGAAGGATGAAGGATGCCCCGTGCCAGAGGAGACGGAGGCGGCGGTGGAGGCGGAAGCGCGGAGAAGCATCAGCCGGCGGAGCAGAGCGGAGCCACAGGACTCGGTGGTTGGCTCGGGGGTGCGGCCAGGGCCGTGACAGGTAGCCCAGCTGGTAACTACGTCGTGCTCGGTGGCACCAGATACGGTCTCCGACTGTCCCAGGTGAGACACCTTTTTGGTCTCTATCTTCATCTCGCTGATCCCCAAAGTTTTTAATGCTAAAGGAAAAAAAAAATTGACTGGGATGTCTTTGCTGAAGGGGAAGTCTTTGTCTCGCTCGACTGTAACAGTCGAGCGAGATCGCGCCCCGAGGCCCCGATGCTTTCACTTGGCCACTTAAAGCTTAGTCTGCATGGCGAAGATAAGCGATTATTTCTTATCTCTCTCTCTTCCTCTCGGGTTATTGTGAATACGAGTTTGAGGCGCGTGTATACGTTTCAATGACGATGACGCAGTGCACGGCTTCTCTGGTTTCTCGACTCATGGCAGGGCAACTTTTGTTTTTCACTCAACTAGTGCGTTTAATTATTTTTCGCGATGATTGTTATTTTGGCAGCTTTTTAAAGAATCGTAGGACAATCGCGATCCAAGGACTGTGACATTTTTACGATTACACAGGTATACGTTTTCAGCGTGATGTTACTCGATCAATAAAAAAAAGAAGATTACTTTTAGCACCTACCTTTAGTAATTTCTTTAAAATTTTTCGTACATCTTGTCCACTAAGATATGTTCATAAAAAAAAAAATGTTCCAATGGTATAAATCGTGCCATAGGCTTGCTAATTCTTCATCGTAGCTGAGCTAGTCTACCCCCAATAATAAGTAAAAAAAATCTCAACGTAAATCAAACAAATTTATAAAATATATTCATTCAATTTTTCAGAGCAAGTTTTGATTGTGTGCGTGTACAGGAAAACAAGTCCAAACGAAAAAGACAATAGGAAATCAGTTTCTTAAAATTGCAAAGGAAAAATCACCAAACACATCACGATCCGTATCGAAGCGAAAGAGAGAGAGAGAGAGAGAGGAAAAAAAAGTACAGAAAACAGCATCGCCACAGGTATAGGACTAATCCAGCTTTGCCATTCCAGCTGCGCTTGGATAATTCGCGTGCAAAGGATACGAGGGAGTACAAGGGAGGGGGGAGGTTTAGCACGTCCATACTCCCTCTATCACGCTGGCAGTCGTTGATGCACGCCTCCCTCTCTCCCCTGGCCTCCCGGAATACATCCTCTTTGCTCCGTGCTCCGCTGCACGTACGCGAAAAACGAGTTTCCCTGCGCTCTTATATGTGTGTATACCCTCGCACGTGCTGCACCTAACATACGAGCCAGCTTTACTTGTGTATACACGTGTGGCAGGGGATACAAGACGTATGGGGTATATACATGCACACACAAATGTATACAGGCGCCGATACCGCGTCGGTGTGTATACGCGAGCACTACATGCTGCGGATATCCATTTCAGCGGAGAGTTTATCTGAAACTCGGTGGTGTCGCCTTACCCGCCACCTTCTTCTTTCTCACCTCTTCCATACTTACCCCCCTTTCGCGTCGTGCTTTTTTTGCCAACCGCAGCACTATTGTCCGCCTATATACGTCGGTGCGGCTCCGCTGACGGCGAGACTCTTCAACTTTACTTTGCTCTCTGGTATCGAGCTTTGTCCTTTGCACGAGCTTAAGGTGCTATTTTTTCTTTTGGCTGTACAATCGAATCTGCTCTCGTTGAGGTGTGTTTGTTTTTGATAATTTCGAGGTAGCGTAGTTGAATCAACTGATAACTTCATTGTTAACGATACAATCAAGTGCTTTATCTTTATGTAGTTGTGGTGACTCGCGTTACCCTTGACCTCGGGTTGAAAAGGTTTTATTTTATATTGTTCGAGGTCGAAGGACAATTATTTCTACGTGTGATTGATTCTCACTGTATTTCCAAGTTTTTTTTTTTTTTTCTGCAAAATCCACGTCATTTTCCTTCGTGCATCATCGGTCGAGGACGAAAATTGTCTTGCCTACGCCGAAAAATTCCACTCGACGCTGTATTTAATAAACATTGAGAGTTCGTCGACTCCCGCGATGAGATTGTCCTTCGATACAGCTATACGTGCGCGTTGCGAAATTCCTCAAGCCGAGGCAAGCGCATCGACACGAACGGAAATCTCTTTCTTGGTGTCGATTTTTTTTTTCTTTCTTGCAATGCAAACTCAGATTTTCCGAGGAATGAGTTCGGGAAAGAGACTCGAATTGTTTTGGGAAGGAAATGCTACGAGTATCGGTCATTTCGTCGAACAAGTAGTGATGTATACAATTACAACTCACTCGTTGGCTTAATTTTAATTGGAGTACTTGCCTACAAATCGAAGGGGAGAGATAACAATCTTTGGTTCACTACATACCTGATGATTGAAAAAAAAATTTATCAATTTTTAAAACCAATCAGTGCAATTATTCACAGTATGCAAAATTTCGTTTATAAGAACAGTCCCCCATGTAATAAAATGATTAACATAAAAGTCTCTCAATAACAATATATAGTTGGTCTTTAATTGAATGCTAGAGTGATAAAAAGGCAGCAGCATCTTTAACTCAAATGAAAAAAGGTTATAGCGATGTATATATTTTTCAAATGAAAAAAGGTTAATATAAAAAATATTACAGGTGTTACAAGTTAATGTATCACTTGACAATGAATATCCTCGGTGTTATTATATGTAAGCACCAGCCGTTGCTGCAACAATTAACAAAAAAATACAAGAGAAAAGTTGTATTAAAAATCGTCGGTCCCACTGTGAATTTCCAGGACACCCAGCCACCGGCTACCTCCAGGGACGAGTCGTCGGAACGTCGCCGAAGCAGCAAACTTTGCTCGGTCCAGCCGCAGAGCGAGTCACGCGAGCGCCTGACCGACGCAGCCTGCCCATCGTCCCCGACATCGGCAGTCCACAAGCCGAGCCTCGACCTGACCAGCGGGGACTGCTGCTGCATCGGTCGCAGCCGATTGCTGAACTTTGGCTCCCGCATCCCCTTGTCCTGGAGCTCGAGCAGCTGCGCCGCGGCAGTGGCATCGACGTGTCCCTCGCGTCAACATCACCATCAGAATCACAATCATCATCATCCGAAGCAGCAACAACAGCCAAACTCGGCGTCTAATAATAGCCGGGCCTGCTGGTCGGCCCACGAGCTGCTCGTTGCCAACGCGGCTAGTAGTAACCACGGCTCCGCCACTGCTCGCGGCAACGTCTCGCTCGCCACCACCACCACCACTACGAGCAGTACCTCGCCGTCTTCGCAGCCAGTAGCCGAGCAGCCGCTACTAGTCAAGAGCAGCGGCGGTAGCAGTGCAGTGCCCAAACAGTTTGCCCACTGGCCGAGACACCACAGCCTCCGGCTACAGGTACTGCAGCACCTAAAGCCGATCTTTTTGACGTCTTGGATTTTTTTTTTTTTTTTTTTTTTTTTTCTATTTTTTTCCTTTCTCTGTGTCTGCTCTCGCGCGTCTGTCCGTACTCGGCTGTTTCTACTGAGAGTGTCTCGGAAAGTCGTGGTTCCGCGATCGGGGATACGAACGTTGTGCCAATAGCCGGGAGCCACTGCAGGGGGCAAAGAGGAGAGAGCTGCTGCCTGCACTGCTGGGCCATCGAGGTGCAGGAGCGCCGAGCTTCCAAGCCCATGGAGTTTGTTACTAACTTATTAGTAAGCTTTCGACCGACAGTGTCTTCATTCTCTGTGTCTCTCTGTGTGTGTTGCGGTATTTTTTTTCCCCCTACTTTGCTCTCTGTTGTTGTTTTTTTTTTTTTTTTTTTAATTTCAAGTGGTTGTAAAAAATAAAAAAATTAAAAAATAAAAAAAAAAGAAAGGGAAAGAGGAATCTCGCGTTTTAAAGTCAACGGGTGGGTTTGGAGAAGAAGAGGAGAGCCGCGTTTATTTTTACTCTCTCGCGCTCTCGTTGCGCGTTTATCGTCTCGGCGTGTGTGGATAGGGAGGGAGAAAGCTCGATTTTTCGCCGAGGAGTTTAATCGCGCGCTCAAGGTTACAGCGGGGAAAATCATCCGCGAGCGCGCGCGCGCGCGTGTGTGTGTGTGTACCTGTACGCGCGCGCGGTTTATTTAAAAATACATTCACTACCACCACCTCACGAGACTCGAAAGAACACACACCGGTGTCTTCGTGTGTGTATGTACAACAGTCGGGGATGAAAATCGGTTGTGTTTTCTGTTGTCGATCGGTGACCAACAGGAGCCAGCAGTGACAGCGGTGGACCGTCTCCAGAGATTCCGATGGAGCGGAGGCGGAGGCGGTGGCGCCGGCAGCAAAAAGTCGTCGTCGGGGGGCAACTCGCGGAGCAGCGACAAGGCCGAGCGACTGCGGGAGCTCACGGAAAAGCTCAAGGGCCCGGCGCCCGTTCCCCCGCCGAGGAGGCCCTCGAGGGCTCAGGCGTCGTCGCCGACCCCCCAGTCGAGCGTCGACTCGAGCGGGCACAGCTTGTCGCCCTACCAGTCGCAGGTGAGCGTTTTTTTTTTTTTTTTCTTCCAACAATTTCTAAAAATAATCTTACACCTAAAGCTCTCTTTGTTTGGACGCGCGTGACGCATATATACATATATATATATTTACCGCGCTTTTGATATTAAATTCGCACATTAGAGCTTCCGACTCTTGGCTCCGCGGCTCATTTTATTTTCGTGATTTATTTTTCCTTTCATTTGGCATTTTTCTTGGGCTAACTGTAATTTATTAAAAAAGCTCCCTCGTGCGTCTTTCGGCCTATTTTTACCTTCCAACGTTAAAATTCATCAAACCCAACCGTTACAATGGCGCCAACAATTGTTATTTTGTATAAAAAAAAAAAAAAAAAAAAAAAAAAAATATAGAACTTTGGCTCGGTACATACATATACTGCGAAAAAAGCACGACCATTGAAAAAGCTCCGACTCATGCGGACGCGAGGCAAAAGTGTTTGCTATTCCCTCGCGGATTACTAATGGTCCTCCCCCCCCCTGCGAAACGACACCCCGTCCAAATAATCGTCCACGCTGGTATACGGCCGCGAGTTTATTGTGCTTCGCGCACGTGCGTCCGCCCGTTGGCGACGGAATTAGAAAATCTCCGGAATACGCCCTCCTCGGGAAATACATAAATGCATCGGTCGTGAAGAATCGTTCCCCCCCTCCTCCCTTTCTTCTACTCAATTCTCGATAAACTCGTTTCAACCGCGGATTTTTCAAAGAAATCGAGGATCCCCCGAACATCCAACCGGGGAGTCCTTAAAAACTACGCGCGTCACCAGCGCTCTTGGAGCTAAGTGAACCAACTTGTGACTCGGACACCCCCCGCGTGCTTTTAGTCACGATATCGCGGTAGAAAATGACCCCTTGCGCTTTCACCCCCGCAGTCCACGCTGTTCGAGCCAGGAAGCTGCGACAGCCGAGGCAATTGCCGGAGCTACACCTTCAGCGAGGGCAGCAGCAGCCCCGGCGGAGCGAAGTTGAGCTCGAGTGGCAGCCTCGGCCAGCAGTCGTCGGGGTCGTCGAGGCCACTCGGTCGGAGTGAAAGTGTCAGTGACGAGTGCTCGGCCAACCAGCAGCAGCCAAACATCGGCGAGGCCCGTCGCACCTTGGCGTGCAACAATAGTGCTAGTGTCAACGGCGGTAGTGCTGGTGCTAGTGGTGTTGGTGGTGGTGGTGGTGGTGGTGTTGGCCGGCACTGCCGACAGTACAGTGACTCGATGGTCAACATAGCCAAGAGCTGTCTGGGCGTGAGGGCGAGCAGTCCACCCAGCGAGCTCGGATCGGCTTGCGACGGCAACGAGGCGAGGGATGCCTTGGCCGGACTGCTAGAGCCGAGGGCTTCTCTGTTCCCCGGCACAAGGCCGGTGCAGCCGTACAGGAGCGCCTCCTTCGGACAGGCCGACCATCACTACGGTGAGTGAAGAATCATTCCGGTAAAAGTAGGAAACGACAATTTATACTCCAAAGTGGAATGAACGGGGCTCTCGCACGGTGTTTGCGAAAAGTTCCAAAGATGATATTTATTTTTGGGACGTTTGTACGCTTATACGCATTATCGGGAATGAAAGGATGAATCGTTTGGATTGTTTATGCGTCATTGGGAAAAATCAATATTTTAAAAGCACGCACGTGTGAAATGGTACCGGCTTTAAATGGTTGAAATGTAAATATAGGACCAATGACGTTCGGACCATTACATCGCGGTAACATTTGGCTCCGGTATGTACGCCGACACGCGCGTAATACGTGTACACGGATGTACACGTAGGCGAGAATTAGTATATAGTCCGTGTAGAATTGGGCGCAGCTGCCAAAGAGTCGCGTCGACGGTAAATACGCGCAAAGTTAAGCAAAGTAAGTGTACCCGGTCCAAATGAGCATTGGGTCGCTCTCGGAGCTAAACGAGCACTTGTGTCCTGCTCTTTAGTCCACTTATCGTGACGAACGATGTTTAAAGGAGCACTTTTTTTTCTCGGATTTTAGTCAAATACAGTACCCAAAGTATACGCCTCTTTAGCGCTACTGCTGGCAACTAATGTGCCTTGTGATGATTTAACTAGTTGGTTCTGTGATTTTTTCTTTCTCAATGCCACGGGTACCACTTACATTAAATACTTTTAACGTAAGACCATACAATGACAAACATTTTTTGGACAAGAGTATCATCGCTTAAAGTAGTGCAGTTGGAAAAAAAGTCGGCTACGATTTCGACGTGTAGAAGCACAGAGCGAATCCTTGAAATTTGAGTAAAAGTATAACTTTGAGGAACGTGTACGGAATAGATGTGCTGTCCATGCCCGTTGATATAGACGATAATGTAATGGAATTATTTAAAGTATACCCATGTTTCTTGAAAATGTTTTTTTTTACGCTTAAATTCCATTGCTGTCGTTTTATTACTTATCTATTCTTTCACCGATATTACAAAAATTTTGTATCTAACTGACACACATGAACCAGCAAGTACTCTTCTTTCGCAACAGATGTAGGTTCCTATGATTATTTAACTACTTTTGACTCTATTGAATGACAGATGCACAAATTAATAAAAGCCGCAGACCTGTGCACCTAGCTCTTCGACCTTGTCGTATTTGTAAACTGTAAGGGTGCAAAAGAGGGCTTTATCGGGCCCACAAAGATACCAACTGTCCCCACTAAAACCCCAGTAAGTCAACGCGTTATTTTTTTTTTTTCAATTCCGGCTTTCCTCGAACTTGTCTCGTTCAAGAGCTCATAGCAAAGCCCATGACACAAAACACCCGTGAATTATTATTCAATCGAAGAAACGATTGGCGCGCGTGCCGTCCGCGTGTATAACCGGCGCGTATGAACGCATTGTTCCAGGCAGCAGCAGACAGGCGGCCTCGTCGCAGTCGGTAGCCAACGCCAGACGGGCCGCGTACGCCGCCTCGAGCGACGACAAGGAAGCACGGGCGAGCACGTTGCCGCGCGTCCGCCGCCTGGAGGACCCGTCCCGTCTCGACGTTAACGGCGAGCAGCAACGCCGAACGCCCACCCCGACGGACCAGAGCCCGCGCGCCTCCACGCCCAGCTTGGCGGACAGCGCGGTTGGTTCCTCGGCCGAGGGTCCCATCGGCAACCAGCCAACCTCCCCGGAGGTCCCCTCCTCGAGCTTTGACGAGGAGCCGGCTAGACCGCGGAGCGATGGCTCGGACAGCTTCGCCACCACCTCGAGCACCCTGGCCAGCCCCGAGCCCACCGAGCAGAGGCAATCCGGCGTCGTGGTAGTGGTCGTCGAGGACGGTGGAAGCGTCGAGGTAGCCCTTGGCGAGGAGCACGTAGACAGGGGGCCTGTGGCGACCAGTCCGGAGCAGCGCCGCTCCGCCACGCCGGTCGAGCAGTTCGCCAGGGAGAACATACACAGAGGTTCGTACCATACCGCCTCTTTACGTATGCCCGAGGTGTGATGTGCCGGTGGTGCCGTTATCCGGTCGGAAGTATCGCTCGTTGGCGCTACGTGCCCAGTTTTGCCTTTGGTGGCTTTTTCCTCACAGACATTTCGTTCCCAACAAAGTGTGCTCATTGTATAACTTTCATGGTTAAGTATGCACTGCTTGACTCGACGATCATTTGGTCGCAACGATAATTGCCATGTATGACTAGTTTGTTTCAAAGTGGGTCCTTCATAGATTTCTTACCAAGCCTTTTTTGTCTGTTTATTGCATTACATTTACATGCAAGCGAAACTTGCCACGTGCGAATCTTCCGAAAACACCCGCAAGAAGGTGCCGTTGACAAATATAACATAAACGCTCGAGCTAGTTTTTTTATGTAATTTTTTAATATTTTTGTAATTTTTTTTTCTCAACTTCCAAGGTAATTGTTGGGATGATGTAATGTCTACCATTGAAAAAAAAACTAGTTCGTCCAACCACTCGTTCATTCAGCATAGTCCACACGCGTTTCTCAAACCTCATCGTACGAAAGGGTATTAATCGGTTATCTGTTTGTTTGACCCCAGTGTGGGCGCTGTTATATTGTTCATTTGACACTTGGCGGGGCTATTCATAGAACTGCTTTCCAAAAGCATCTTTATATTGACTTTGTCACTTTCAACGCAAAGGATAAACCAACGATGAGCTTCAAATTTATACGGGCAATTAGTTCGTCTAAAACCAACGTGCCACGCGAGAAAGATTTATCATCGGTGGCCCGTTGATCCGAAATAAATGAACACAATCATTGGCCGAATAACGTGTTTATTTTACGATAAATCCGAGTACACCCTGAAAAACTAATCCAAAAACGTGTCGTATCGACTACTAAATTAACCGGTCGCGCCGTGCGATTGGTTTACGAGAGAAAATTTGCCCGACGACGATTTTACAGCACCAAAAAACAAAATTAACCCACTGCTTACGCGACAAGCCAATGGACCACACCTGCCCCCTCGCCCGAAAATCGGCATCATCCGGAATTTCCGAAGCGCGGGTTTACAAGAGCGGGTGGTCTATTGTCTCAGGCGCTCGGATCCGCTTCCTCTTTAGCTCTTCCCGAAATCGTCGATCCTCAACAACGGGAGGTATACGGACACACGCGCGTACGGTTCGGGTGTCTATTTTCGAGTCGCAGCATCGACACAAAGTCACAAAGGCATTAGAGCTTCCCCCCCGACACCGCTGCAGCCGTGAGTTATTCCGTGAGCCCGTCTATTTTCGGTGCACGTGGGAGAGATGTAGAGTCAGTCGTGACTTTGCGCTTAGCTTTTCCCATCCGGTCCCCCTTTTCTTCCTCAACCCTGACCAAGAGACGCGCGCGCGTCACGATGTGGTTCACGAGTTTTTCGAGGATGACTGTGCGTGCGGATAGGTGCACGAGCGCAAGGACAGGCTTATTTGGACTTGGCGATCTTCTGTGACGCGTACGGTGACGCGTGTAAACACGGGTGCTGATGGGGGTGGTATTTGTAAAACTGTTGTATACGCATGGAGCCTTTCTTTTACTTTTCTTTTATTTTTTATTGCATCGTATCACATCTTGTTATGTACGAGCTGTTACGTACAGCTATTTTTTTTTTTTAATTTTATTTAAAGAAGCACTATTGAAATTTATTATTGTTTCCCTGGTGGTGTAACAAGTATACGAGGGGTAGGACTGACCTGCACAATGTACGATTGATAGAAAAAAAAAATCTAGTAAATGAGAGCTTGCTTAGGTCATTTTCATAAATCAAACAATTTTTTTATATTTTTTTAAATTTATTTTATTAGAATTGAAGCCAAGAAAAATATTTACGACGACGAGCTTTTTTTAAATTTATTTTGTCCCCTAAACTTGGAATTACATTGTCACGTGAGAAAATGAAGGAACTTGATCATCTATTCGCTGAATCAGTAGTATAGTGCCGGTATCTATTTTTTCCATTCATATTTATATCCCTTCTCATTTTTATAGTCAATAGTCCATTTCTAATTTTATCTCTTCGTCAATCAAGTTTCCCTCGTCCATTTTGTTTTTCCCAAGATATTTGTCATATGGAAAAGATTAATCTGAAGAACAATCTTTCTACAATTTCCTCTTGGGTATTTCTTTGATGATTTGGTACTTCACGTGACATTACTCGAGGACAAACAATCTACAAGTATACGAAAATACAAATGTCACCAAAACCCCCCATTCGTTGTTCCAAATACAATTTTTGGCAACTTTTTTGAGGTTCTTATAATCAAATAAAAAATCTCAGATATAATACCATCAGTAATAAGCAATTATTTCAATCATCATTCTAATATAATTGAATGCATTGCCCACGATGATCATCGTATCTGTGGACTGACTCGACTAGTTGTTAAGCTGTATAAAATATCTTTTGGTATAAGAAATGAGTATCATTAATTAAAACAACCGAGAGATGAAAAAAATAAAAAAACCTGAGCAATGACTCTTACACCAGACGCATCTCCAGTTCCAGATTACCGCATCGAGCCCCACGAGGTGATAATAACCCCGCCGCAGGAGGACCTCCAGCCGAACCAGCAGCGCCACCGATCCTCACGGCTGAGCCAGACCAGCGAAGCGAGCGAAGCCCCGACCGAAGCCTCCACCCTCGGGCCCGCAACCACCACAGCCACAGCCGCCTCGACAACCCCAACGGGCAAGCTGAGGCGCTACCGGGGCGACACGAGCAAGCGTCGCAAGGGCGTCTACATAACCCAGTGGCCCGAAACCCCGGAAGCTCCAACGGCTGCCGACTCGCGGGGAAAGCTGTCCGGCCAAAGCAGCGAGGAACGGGACGAGCCACCGCCCTCGGCCACCCCCAGCGATCTCTCGGACTGCGAAGGCCAGGCGCCCAGAAGGTCGGTTATTCAGCCGTGCCCCACCCCTCTCACCCCCTTTTTTCACGTTCCCTTGAGATTTTTAACGAGCGCGCGCCCGATGCACTGCTCGTTATCCCACTCGAGTTACGATACAGGGGGGATCGTTGCGAAATAACAGCTTAGCGAGTCAATTTTGCCATTATACTTACACAACGTTTTGGACGGCCAATGTTTCGGATAAAGGGATCAAAGTGATTCAACGCGAACAAATTCAATCCGCGAGTTTCAGGTGAGCAACAACTGTTTTTTCTAATGTTTCGATTCGATATACAACATACCAAAGCTCGCATGACCCATCAAACGTAATCGCATCAATTTGTATTATGAGATGGTTAACGAAACACAATCCCAGGCTTTTCCGAGCCAATCGTAGAGTTTATGTATATATATACCCTCCGATCTGCAACGTGCTCGTTATTTACCGTAATGGTGGAACGAAAAAAAAGAAGGGGTAGTGGGTTTCACCTTCGGCACCCTGCCGCGTGCTCTAGTGACCTTCCTTAACCAAAAGAGCATCGCCTCGTTAAAATTCCAATGACAGCGAGCCAACGGATCCTCCTCCTCCTCCTTCCATTCAGCAACGCGGTAGATAACGTAGGGTGGCTCGAATTGCAGGTACAGCAAGCGCCCGCTGCGCGGACCTTACGGCCAGATGCTCGAGGCCGAGATGGCCAAGCCACGGCCGAGCGACATCGCCCACAGCCTGGACGAGGGGCTGCGCCAGAGGCGCAAGGTCTCGGCCAACCTGTCCTTCAACGCGGCCAGCGTCGCGAGCGCCGAGCCGGCCACCTCACCCTGCCACCACCGCACCACTTCGAGCCCCAGCAAACTCGAGGGCCTCCCAGGACCCAGTCCCGAGCTCCTCGCCGAGCTGCTCAGGGGCTCGTCCGAGCGCGTGGCCCGCACCCCGCCTCATTTCAACGTGAGTACCGACTTTTTTTTCTTTTCTTTTTTCACCTCATCTCAACTAACAACGAATCACCAAATATACAACCACTGCATTTACCGAGAGAGAGAGAGAGAGAGAGCATAAAACTGCTCGTTTTCGGAGATAAGGTGTAGATTTAGCAACCAACGAATACACGCATGCCCGAGGAAAATACGATTTCACAAAAGTCCGGCGTTGCGTCGGCAATGGCGACAATGTCAACAAATGCCAAAAGATGTGTCTTGAAAAACTCTACTTTCCTTGAAAAAAAATATATATGTATGTAAACGTCGGATACCAGGTGTGGGATTTCTTGCGTGTGTATATTTTCGACCGCGTGACGACACGGCCGGCTTTTATGAATGAAGCCGTGAGTTTGACGCTCTTAAATAGGCGCCGTCGAATAAACAGAACGCCCCCAAAATTCGCTCGCACCTTTTTTTTTTTTTTTTTTTTCCATTTATTTTCCATTTCGATTGGCTACGGAATGTACACGAACACATCAATATCCTGAAATATTTCGTCACACAATCCAATAATTAAAAATAATAATAATAATAGCCACCGGGGGAAGGTTGCTCGTTAACGACACACGAAATATTCGTCCATTAGTCTTCATCATAATTTCGAATCGTTGGATCCACTTATCATCATCGCTCCCAAATTTAAATTAGCGGGCCGTAGCGCGTGCGCGAGAATGTTTCACGAGTGCGATGATTTGAGGAAACTCATAGCCCGACGATAATCCAAAATTAGCCGCCCGAATATGCGACTTTGCCACCTGGCAGTCCGATCTTTGGGGCAAGAGCTGCAAGCACTTCACAACGAGCAAAGTATCCAGCACAAAAGTTAACGAATAGTTTTTTTTTTTTTGTTTTTTTTTAATAAAATACCATAAAATGTAGCATTTGAAAACTTTATGCTTCACATTTCTGTAGAAAGAATTGCTTCGTTATTGCTACATAAAAGGAAAAAGCAAACAATACCCTTATACTCCAGGAGAGTCGTATGTCATTGATTTTCGATGCACCTGTGACAATGTAACGTTTTGTTTATTCTTCGATGTGCAACACAAAGGATCGCTGTCAATAAGCCAGACTATGTCGTATCAAGATTCAGGAGTACATTATGTCACGTTTTTCAAATAAATATATAGAAACAAAGTTTCTTCGTACTTTCTTCTTTCAGTTAGTTTAAGCTTGCACCAGAGCTACAAGTATTAACGACTCATCTAATTACTTTTGTTCAATTTGACAGTAATCGTGCTGACCCCAATATCAGTTTATACTCCCTTCGCAAATTCTACCGATTGGACCACATGTGATGTGTCAGTGAACAAATAACATCAGCGATCAAAGTTACTCGAGTGTAATTTATGTAACACCTGTTTTTCCTACCGCGGTCTTTGCACAAGACACCGACTTCGGACCCCGAGATCGTCGTAGCGTGTGTGCACGGTTAACTCAAAGAAAACACTCGACGACCCATATCCACCGACCGCCAACACGAGCGATGCATGTACACTCCGGGTAATATACCGTCGACTCGCTATGTCCGTTCAAGGTCGGGCCGTACCCTAGACAGTAGACGCTCTCTCTCTCTCTTTTCTCCGGCACAGTTGCGCGTCTGCTGTAAAGCAACAGCGGGCAGAAATAGAGCGCGAGCACACCCGATGCGCTGTAGAATATGATGATGGTGGAAAAAAAACAGCGAAAGGAAAGGAAAAAAAAAAAAAGAAAATAGAGTCGCCACGCCTATACGGTAACATAATGTGGACACAGATATTATGTCGAGGATATAGGATGAGAGGGCCGTTGCGTGCCATCCCGGTCCATTGACGCAGAGAGGCTGGCATCACGTTTCCGGAATCCGTTTCGTGTGTAGGTGCTGATGGTATATAACGAGCTCTAGCGCTGCATCACGCGATATCCCACTCGCAGCTTCGAAAGTGGGAGGGCCGTTAATTGTAAATTTAGAAGCGTCGGAGCGGGCGCACCGCGATAGACGCTGTAGGCTTGTGTATACCATCTTCCTCCGTCTCTCTCTCTTTCGTATTGGGAGGAGATGGGATTTCTTGGCTGCGAGGATCGATTCGTGCGCGCGCGGATCTCGCGTGTGAACGAATGTCCCTACCATATGTACGTATACGCGGCCAGAGGAAGAAGATATGGTTTGAGGAGCTTTATGTGATTCCTTATCGACTGTACTACCTCGTTTCATGGTCTTAAAGACTTTTTTTTTTTTTTTTTTCAGTAGGTTGGAAAAATAACATTTAAGGTAGGAGTATAACTGCACTGTCAACACTTCAGTAGTAGAGTCAATAATTCATGTACAAGTTGATTGGCCAATTTGTGACATTTTTCAAGGAGAAACAAGTGGAACGTACCCTAAATCCTTTTTCACTCGAGACTTTTGGGGAAAATAGTTGGATGGTCATTAGTTTAATCAACATATTCAATATACACTGTTAGAATGCATTTGAAAAAAGAAAAAAAAATGGACCGATACATCAGTAGATTATTGATCAGTGGACTCGTGTTTCGACTACACAATACATAATCACCTCTTTGTCAGCCCTCCAAAAATAAGCCTCTCAAGTTTTGACTATGTATACATAATCTACTCTACACACGTAAGATGATTCAACTGGGATCTACTCCTGGAATTAAAGATTCCATTAGCTCTTCGGAAGTGATACCACACGATCGTTCGAAATTTCCATATTCCGCGCTTCTTTGACAATAAGTAAACACAAGTAAATCCCAAGGCGAGCAAAAACCCCATTGTAATTGCAAATTCCAGGCGTTCGCCATATTTAAAGTCCCTTCCCCGTAATCATCGGTGGCGATCGGTTTCCCATGAAAGGCCTCTTTGCGGGCATTCCATCCGCGTGCCCATGCTAATTAAAGCTAGAGACATCGGACAAGAGGGAAGGGAAGAAAAACCGAGGCTGAGCAAACGCCGTGTGCTCGCCTCCCCGTCGTCGCCTCGATGGAAAATAAAATACAAAAAATATCGGTCCGTCGACGTCACAGTCGCGGCGCCGACGTCACGTGTCCCCCACGACGCCACTTTCTTTTCCTGCTCGCGCGGCGACGCGTACTCACTTTTAAATAAATCGGACACGCCGCTAACTCTCTCCTCATTTGGTCATCCCACACTCGCACCGACGCGTCACAAATTATTTCTTTCAAAGTTCAATCAGCACGCATTTTACAGCCTGTAGTCTATCGCGAATCAGGCCGTGTGCACGCTTTGTTGACGTCGATATTTATTCATTATTATTATTTTTTTTTCTTTGTTCCTTTGAATTCAATGGCGTGTATATTTTCATAAAAGCCAAGCGTGAAAAGCTTACTGTAACAAATGTTTTCTGAAACTGAAATGATACGGATGGAAATGCCTGGTTGGCGCGTGCGTTTGTTCATTGCCAATTGAAGGTGTACGGTGCGCTGAAACAAAGAAAGTAGGACATCGTCATAACGGGGAGGATAAAATAAACGACAACAGGCTCTGCAGTTTTCAAAGAACAATTTTTTTTTTCCTTCATTTTTCAAAGAAGGGATCAATTTTTTAGTTTTCTTTTAAACATTATCTACTGAATGTACGGGAAATAAATATTCATCGTGAAATTGACTGCAGAGAGTCTAAAATGACATTTTTTCAGTGGAAACAAATAAATTCTGTAGGAAGTCTTTTGTAACCATTATAATGTATAGTGAAGCTTACAGCTTTGTAATCGCTGTTTTCACTTGCTTGAAGCAAAGTGGTCGTGCATTTTGCATTGAAACATTTTTGCGCTCTTTTGCATGCATACCGCAAGAATCTCAGTCGTGTCTGACCTAACTCGATCGTTACTACTTAGAAATAATTTAATTCTCTAAAAAAATTATTTAAAAATTGATTTTTTTTTCAAAGACGTTTGCTCGTTTGTAAATAGAGTTGCTGATTTTCAGAAAAACATCCAACTAAAAGTTTGATGAGGAAAATACTACACAAGAGTACTCCTGAATACTTAAAAAGCTTACATTTTAAAGTTGCTGTTGAAAAAGTTTAAAAAAGGTCTTGGCAGGGTAGAAAAATATTGGCCGTGAGAGTTTATTTTTTTGCTCATTGAAAACTTGTCCTTGAAACTATTAAGTATCTTCACCATAATAATAAAGTAAATATTCTATAGGGAGGGTTTCCAAAACTCATTTTTCAATTTTAAAGTTTTTAGAAACGTTTTTCGGGTGTTGAGAGATTAAAAAAAAAAAAAATAAAGTCTGAAGCAATGAAATATCTTAGAAAACGTAATAAATAGTACACAAACTGTACAGAAATTTACAATAATGTTATAAAAATTGAATTTAGTGCATTAATGTCTGACATATTGCAGATATTTCGGGGTTCTCATAACATTTCGGGATGTTTCAAATCTTTTTAAAAAAGTGTTTGAATATTTTTCATTCCAGACATTGTTGTATGTTATTACACATAATGGTTCAGAAAAAAAATTTATTTTGTACGCGTTATTGACGCATAGGGAATGTAGGGTTCTAAGTATAACTTCACAAGGAAAAATAAAGTGCGTCACCAGTGAGCGTGGAAAAATCAAATGAAATCTTTGTTCAACCTATGATTTGAAATGTAATATTGCTTATTCAGAGTCTATTTCTGTTATTTTTATAAATCAAACAATTTTTTTTTTATTCCATCAGAATCGAAGCCAAGAAAAATATTTACGACGACGGAGCTTTTTTTTAATTTATTTTGTCCCCCTAAACTTGGAATCACATTGTCACGTGTGAAAATGAAGGAACTCGATCATCTATTTGCTGAATCAGTAATAGAAATATCTATTTTTTAAATCCATATTTACATTCGTTCTTATTTTATCTTCCCTTTAACCAAGTTTCCCACATCTATTTTGTTTTTCCCAACATATTTTTCATCATTGAAAAGATTAATCTGCTGAATTATTTTAATGCTTTTTTTTCATCATTTCGTATTTC